AGTTTAAGCATCCTACATAATCATTTTGATGGTTGAAACAAAATTATTTTCAGATCTGTCTAGTTAAATTTTTAGATACTTCAGTAAAATTGTTCTTTCCGTGTGAAGTCGTTTAAAATAATTTTAGAGAGAGTTATAAAATAATTTATTTTAAATAAACAAAAATACGACGAAGCTAAAATCGTTTAAATGTTCTTTCTGTATCGGTTTAGCAAACGATAGAAATAACCTGTACAAAAATGGATTCAATATATTATTCAAAGAAATATTAAAAGTGATTATTTCTCTTTGTAAAAAAACTTTAAGTGTGATGTAAATAAATTTCACGTAATAAATGTAACATTACATTATTTGGCAATGCTTTTAAGAATTTAAAATTTATTCATGTAGTATCTGTATTAGTAAAATTATTAAAAAATTTTCAAAAGTCAGTATGTTTTAAAAAATATGTATGTAGTGTATTAAAAGATATTTATTTACAATTTCGTTAGATGCATTTAATAACGTTACGTTATCTAGTTATGCTTTTAATTAAAAATTTATTCTCGTGCAATACCTTCACAATACATTAGTAAAATTCTATTTAAAATAATATACACAGTCAACACAATGCTTTAAAAAATATATAATACATTATAATAAGAAAATATTGATTTATAACTTTCATTCAATTTTTGTTTATTTAAAAAAATATTGTAAATATAGAAACATCGCAGCGCGATTTATTAATAAGATAAATATACCGAACAATTGACTTGCATATAAAGTTATTGAAATAAATGCAAAACATCATTATTAATATAATGTGTTTGTGAGAAATTGTTAAGAGATATCCTTCCGCAGTTGTAGCCAAATTGAATTAATATCGCACAATGCTTACATTCTAACGTCCCTGTATATTAAATCGTAAACCTAGAAATCAATCTCAACTTTATTTCTTCAATATATTGGCGCAATCTTCGATATAACTATTAAACGCTCAATTGTGCAATAATGTCGTACGTGTAGAAGCCGTTTAAAAATAACAGTTAATTGACCGCGTCGCACGAGTTAGATGACGAAACGAGGCGAGAAAGAAAAAGCATTTTGTCGCGAGTGAGACTTATTTCGATTAATTCTTACGGCACAAATCAGTTTCCACCGAAACTCTCAATTTGATTCCACTGTAACAAATCAAATTTAGAGTATTATTTCCAATGGATATAAAAGCTTTGTGAATCGAAGCGGGAGAAAATAAGCACAACCAAACGCATTTCCACTGACTTATAGCGAATTCGATTGGACGTACTCAATACACACTGTTACATATAAAATAGTCGTATACAAATTAATGTAAACATATATGTTTAATGTAGAAACAAAGATTAAACCGTAAAATTCTTAATATATTTTATTGTAACAATTTGAAATAGACATGAGAATACCCAAGTAGAATAATAAGTTATAATATCAAAATGATGTCAAAATGACTCTAAATATTATTTAAGGTTCATTTTAATGCCATTTCAACGTCACTTCGATGTTAACGTGATTTATTATTCTGCTTGGATAAATTTAATTAAATATCTAAGAGAAATCCTATTTTTCGGTTAAATCGCTCAGTGTTTAAATATTTCTGTGTGAATCTATATACATGAAATGCAATCAAGAATAAAACTGAGTAGTAGTATTAACATATTATTATTATTATTATTTTATAGTGTATAAAGAATTACAAAGCATACACAAATGAGACACCAGCAGAACTGCTGTTACTAAGTCTCTTAAAAAACGAATTATAAATTATAGAGAAATTAGTACAATTCCAAAAAGATAAGCTTCTTGTTTAATAAATAACTCGGTAGTTTTAAGAAGGTAGAGGCCAAGAATGATTTGAGCATAATTGCTGTTACTAAGCCTACCAGAAAACAAAAGGAACATATGAAAGTAATATTAAAATAGTAACATTAATATATTGATAATATAATAATTTTTGATGCTAATAAATATCTTTATTGTGTTAAGTAAAAGTTGTATTTTATAATTCGAAATACATTTCACTTTTACACTCAGATGAAATCAGTATACAACGTTTTAATATGCACCAGTGCACACTAGTGCGTCCAACCGAATTAGCTATTAAATTTGATTCTACGCTGCATTAGGTGCTTCAGTGGAAACTAGATCACGGTTAGGCTGCGTTTGGAAACTACATCCGAGAGTCCTAGTGCATCATTTTATCTTTATTGCTCATTAGACGTACTTAATCCCTTCAGACTTTGTGTACATTGGAGTGTACATAAAATTGGAAAGTATTATCCGTTGAAATTATTTATTTCTATCAACATCTGAAAGTAAATGCACATAATAATGTATGTTTGAAGAATAATCAAAATTTTGAAACGAAAATTAAAGTATCCTTGAATTGAATTAAAAAAAAAATCTTGTTTAATATAATTCCATTAAAATCAAGTCTGAAGGAATTAATATTATTAATTCTCCGCTGACAATGTTGAACTTTAAAAACAATCGATTTTATTATCATAAATTCTGTCTAGATAAATTTAAGTTCATAAAAAATAAGTAAAATGATTCAACTTTTTTTATGATAATAAAAACTCATTAATGCTTTTACAAAGTATATATACTTGTTAAGTATCTCAAAGAAGTGATAATCTACTCTCTTGAGTGAATTAACATTTTATTATTTTTAACTTTCTGTGTGTCAAAATGTAAATCAATCAATTTCTATTATTGAGTTGCTTAATTTCAAAATAAACGTTCATATACATTTAGTAAGTAATAAACTAAATTTAGTTCTACTAAAATCAGGTCTGAGAAGAAAATAAAACAGGAATAATAAAATGATTCAGGATACATTCCATTTCATGCATGATGTGCATTATTTATCTTTGTTTAACATTCGGTGAACAATAAGAATAAATGATGCATCATGCTTGAAACTGAATATACCCTCAGACACTGGAGACTTATTACGATTCTTTAGACAAAGTGAAAATTACAAAAATGCAAATTCACTTGATGTTAACTAATGAAATTATAAATATTCCAGTAAATTTGATCATTTTCGTAATTTTCACCTCGTTTCAAGAACCGTAACAAGTTCCTTGGAGTGAAAATTCCGAATGCGAACTTAAACGAGTCGCGCAGCCATTTTGTGTTTATTCCGCGCGCCGATGTTTCCTCGTTTTCGTGTCGTAGAACGCGATCCCCGTATGCAAAGGTAAATAACAACCGAATAAAATGTGTACATACCGCCACTAGCCGTCTCTCGATCCGCCACAGCCACGAACGAACCGCAAAACGAAACCACGAACCAAAAAACACGCACCACTCGAGCAACTTCGCGTCGCACCTGCGATCGCGCGAAACACTTGAAGCGCTTTCCCGCGTTCTTCCTCTCCCCTATTCTCGCCCATCGCGCCGCGCGGCTGCTAGTTGGCGCATCACGTGATGCGCCGCGTCATCTGACGTCACGCGGAAATATTTCCATGACGCATGACATGACCGATGCGTTCGAATGTCGCAGTTCGCTGAACCGTCGAAGTTATACACGTGTAAAAATCGTTGTAATACGTGATGTCTACAATATAACTCTTGAGCGGTAATAATTTGACAATAAAATTTAACAGTGTATGATTATTGTTTTACGTTTCTCTACAAAAAGATAAATATAGACTAATGAGAGTCAGCAACGATAAACGCAATTATTTAGTGAACAATCAATAATCAGATATTGGATTGATATTGGATTAATGTCTGATTATTGATTGTTCATTAAATAATTGCGTCGTTTATCGTTGCTGACTCGCATTAGCCTATTATATTTATCTTTTTGTATTGTTTAAAATTCGAGAGTCTTAATATAATTATTGTTCTCTACTGTGATTGATCAATTTGCTTACTGCATAAATTTTTTGTGTGTCGTAGTCTTAATATAAAAAATGCTTTTGTTTTAATTCGAGAAATCCAGAAATATAATTATTAAATAATAACGCATTAATTATTGCGCAATTATTATTCTTAATTAGTTGAATATTAATTTGTTGTTGAATTTCGAGAGTCCATTTTTATCGTGTTGTTAAAAAAATAATATTATATCAATAGCATTATTTTAAATGTTTAAATTTTATTGATTCAATAATAGTATTAATAAAACGTATAAAGTTTTATTAAAACAAGAGCATATTTATTTGATTAATGGTATTACTATATAAATTAAAACGATTTAAATTTAAATTATTTTAAATTAAAATAATGTTGATATAATATTTTTTTTTTCAGTGTGGTAAGAATTGACGTAATCGTTAAAACATATAACTTCAAGCTTTAAGTTTTAAATCGTAAAAAATTGTTCAATCACAGTCATACATGAGAATAATCAACTATATAATGGATTGCTCGGTATTCATAGTCGAACCTTATATTTAAGACCATCTTAACTACAATCTTAAGATATCATAAAGTGATCAATCACAGGTCGCTATTAGCACGTAAAACATTATTTAAAACGATCTTTAATTAAGAGCCGACTATGAATATCGGCTTCAAGTTAAGATACTAATTGCCAATGTGATTCTCCGATTGGTCTAAAATGGACATTTTAAGATTGTACTTAATACAGTCTTAAATATAAGAATTAATTATGTATGAATATCAGTCATAGTCGATTATTTTCCTGCGGTTGGTTAATTTCTTACGGCTTAAGACTTAAAACACTTATTGTAGATATTCCAGATTAAAGATATATCCACACAAATTTACATAGTCCCATAAACATATATATAAAGAAAATTATCCAATCGCATTTTTTCCGACAAAAACTCACGTAAAATGTGATTGGACAATTTTTTTATGCATACGTTTATATGACTAAGTTTGTGTAGATATACCTTTATGCCTCAAGCCATAAAAATTTCGTTGAAGACGCCGCTTAAAGCGACGAGCATTTGGCAACGCCGCGTCATTTCAGTGTGTCATGGCGGACGCGCGGATGAAAATTGTGTGTTTGTGAAATTCGAATTCTTGCTTTGTCGAAATAACGCGACGGTGCCGGTTGACGTAATCGATCCCCGTTGTCGAGATCTTTAGAGCTTGGTGTGAGCCGTGTGTCAATCGATAGGAAGTCGGAGAAAAGCGAAAAACGTCGCGAGATCGCGTTAAAGTTGAGCGAGAAAAACTCGATGGGTATTGCGCGCAAAATCGCAACAGTGAGGCGCGTCTTGGCGACGATTTAAGTGTCGCGATAACGTAAGCTGGAAGTGCTCGCCTTGAAAGTTGAACGTTAAATGTGTCGAAATGGTGCCGTTCGCGAGTGACTGGCAGCGGAGGAAGTGGACTGAAAAAAATAATTTCTTCGTAGCAAGTAAGAGATTTTCCATTCCCGCCTTCTCTCCGTAAATTTACTCTCATTATAACTCTCATTATAAATTATTAATTTCCCTTCGACAATGTAAAATTTTTATCCTTCATTTGCCTGAGTCTTCAAGTACTTCAGTATAGATTTTTATATTTTTTCAGACTGTATAAAAATTAATAAAATTCTCATTAAAGTCGTAATATCATAAATTAAACTCAATTTGAGTTATTTTTCAAAATCATTTTTATAGGTCACCACTATGTTTCTTCTCAATGTGTCGTTAATTTAAAAATGATTGTAGAATATAGAAACAAAAATGTCGATAAAATTGCGATGAATCAGCACGACACTGAAAAAAAGTATGTTGATAACTTATCGCAATTCAAGTGACATTTTTATTACCATAATATCTTCTAAATTTAAAGTCTATTAAAATTGATAATTGTTGAAATTTTGTTTTAAATGTTCAACACAAATAAACGAAAAAGGCCATATTCGATCAACGCGAGTCTTGGTGCTTAATAATATTTTTGTATGAATTTCATAATTTCCAATTTAAATTCCAGTAAAATTCACATAAAAATATTATTAAGCATCAAGGTTCGCTTTAACTGGATATGACCTCCTTCGCTATTCGTATTAAATCATTAACGTTAATTAATTATTATTTTTAGATGGAATTGTGTGCAGTGTCATGATGGCTTTTCGTATACAACTATAGAGTCCAGAGAATTCTTGTATCCTGTATACGACGTAAAATACCTGAGAGAGTACAGGTGAGTGCGAATTAAAACTCAGGAATTCTGTACTTTTAATAAACACTTTAATAAAACGCGCGCCGCACTTTCTCTGCCTTCTTTTAACGGCTTCATCTAAGAGTCTCGACATGGATTAACAGAGAATTATAAAAATTTCTCAACCGTCATGTTGAACTCTCGTGGAGAAATTTTATTGCGTGTTTACGCAGCCAGAGAATTAAGTTTGTTATTTTGATGACTTATCCTTAGCCTTCCCGCGCGCTGTAAAAGCAAACGGTCGTATATTATCTTATCGACATTGCCGGTTATTTTAATAATATTACGCGCATTCATCTCGATATAACAATATTTGCGGTGCCGACGCGTATACGCATATTTCACTATGCATGGCGTGTATTTATACCAATTTCAAGTCAAAGAGGCGTGTTTTCGCTCTAGCCCGCCGCTTTGTGAGAGAGGCGGGAAGTGCTCGGTTCGCAAAAAGTAATATTTACAATATAGAGTAATAAAGTTTTTGGCTTTTATTCGGCCGGTGCTAAAAAAAAAAAAATAATAAAAAAAGAACAAAAACGAGATTACGAGACACGGATGCAATTTCCGAGGGTTACATTTAAAATTCAGAGGCACACGTCGTTTCTCGCTGAAGTCATCGTGGATTGTTCTCGTGCGGTGTTTACAGCGTAAGGCCCTGCACACAGTGGAACAAATATTAGGAGAATAAATATTTAATATAATAACAATAATAGGGACAATATTAGGAGAATAAATATTAAATATAATACTAATTATAATTAAAAGAAATTAAAAAATTAAGAATATAAAACGTAATGCATAATGGATACAAATAAGATGTAAGATGTGTTATATGTCATGTCTTATTTGTATCCATTGTACGTTACGTTTAATCTTTTAGGAGCAAATATTGCATATTTGAAACGTTGATTTTAAATTAAATTTAGGATCGATTCGAAATACTAAATTCTGTACAGATTAGTTACACTTAATTGAAAATGGAAATATATATGTAGCATTAAACACTAAAATTTCTAACTAGAAAAGCAATATATCGATATAGGTATATTTCGATAGATAAATTTCGATAGATTTTCTTCACTTACAAGTCATTTTTTAGCAAAAGGTATGTTATATTTTTAGTTGTATTTTTAATAATAAAATAATGGTGTCCTTAAAAAGAATTATTCTCTATACATACTTTCTAAAATTTTTAGAATGAATTGTCACTCTGAAGAGTGAAATCTCACTCTTAAAGATGGAAAATTGAGCTATTCTTTTTCAAAACTGGCTCAATTTCCATTGTTTAGAGTGAGACTCCATTCCAAAGAATTTAGAGAATATATGTATATTTTTTTTTCTATTTCTTTTTATTTCTCTAATATTTATTTAATATTTATTCCCTATTATTCTAATATTTAATATTAATATTTATTTATTATTTTTATGATTTCTGATGCATTGTGCGTAGACTCTAATTCGGGAGTGATAAGGAAGAATACTGATACGCGTTAAACTCGCATGTCTCAACAATCACTTATTCGTATTTCCGCGTTCACACTGGCTGTAGTCGGCAAACGCCTCCTGCCCAGGTCGGGGCATCCTTGATTTCGCTGAATATTTCCAGTTTCACGTACACAATGTACGTGTAAGCACTTCAGTTCAGCGCGACCCTCTCGCCTGCCTGGCCGGATTTTAGTAGAAATAACGAGACGCAGTCAGACATATCGGGTTCGGGTAGTTGCGTCTGACGCTATCGTGACGTACTACTACTGTCGGCTACAATCGCTAACCCACGTCACTTCGTTTCGCATTTCCGTTTTCCTGGAGCTCCCCTCTTCGTATGCGGTAAATCATTAATGGAAATAGAATATTAACGTCCGTAAAATGATTTCGTTACTGTTGCATGCAATTTGGATTATCGCACAGCAGGCAGTTGGAAATCAAGTTGCGAGCATAAATTTCAAATGTATAATATTATATGGATAAAATAGGGTAGTAGGGTAGTAGGGAAGGAGATATATTCTTTAAATCTGAATCAATGGATAATTAATAGTATCCTAAATATGCCATTGAAGGACATCAATAAAATTCAACTGAAAAAGAAAGAAAGTTTGAGCATTATATAATTAAAATACTGATATCTCCAATTCTAATACTATTACATTGACTATATACACTAAAGCAAGGTTAAGTTAAGAATTTTACGTTTTATTTAAAGTTTTTTAGTTAAAGTTCATTGTGAATTTATTGATTATCCAGTAGCTTGGATATCAATAATTATTCACTGATTTAGAGAATAAGGGTACTTACAAGAGATAAACAAAATAATGCGAATACCTAAGAAATATACTATTTATTTGTTTTATTAATGAAAAGTTGGCCTTCTATTTGTTTTTAACATAGATTCTATCTTTGTTGGAATAGTGTCATATATGCTTGTTAATGTAGCAACTGTTACAGTGCAATGTTTTTCCATTCTTCCAATAGAACATCTTTTAATTGCTTAAAACATATCGGAGGTATAAATCTGTTTCTTATTTTATACTACAAATCTATAAATGATATTTAAATCAGACGATTGCATTAGTCAAGAAAGATGTTAAAGTTTTGGAGAATAGAGGATAATTGAAAAAGTAAGAAAAAAATTTCTTTCTCCATTTATATAAAAAATTGAAAGACGTTTTACTAAAAGAATAGTACAACATTCCATTGATTTTCATTCAAGCAGTAAGTGACTATTCCAACAAGAATAGAATGTATATGTATTAAAAGTAAATGATGAGCTCTTATTATAGTAAAACAAGTAATAAAATTTTATAGTGTATAATAAATAGTGTATTTTTCCAGGAATTTCGAAACTCAAATTCCTGAAAGTTATGTAAATAACCAAAATTCCTTTTTATGCAATAATTTTTTAAGTGGAAATTTCTATCATTTTTTGTTAATTGTTTTGCCTTCGTTATTTATAAAACCGTTTAAAACTATGAACATGAATATTCAAAAATAAAGATATTGAACTGTGAGAAGTGAAGATTTAAATTATTGACTATCAATTTGAAAATACCTGGATGACAACAGTTTGACAACAGAGCGAAATTTCGACGGAACTGCTACGCGTCAATTCATCATAGAATTTATTTTCCGTTGACAGTACTGGCGAGAGGTTAACGACTGTAACCACTTTTGATGAATTTGAGTGATAGAAACAATATTACAAAACGCGGAAAATACACTTTGTTTGGCTATCGCGTTTTCCGGTACGATTACCGTGTGATGAAATCATGAGGCTTTCGTCATAAATACTCGCGATAGGATTTGCCGGCGCGCTTGTTCCGACGTGTGAATTGTTTCCGCAATTCATTCCAGTAATAACGTGTTATTCGCGTCAAACACGTGGCATTTTCAATGTGCGAAATTCCATTCCATACAATTAGTCGCTTGATTTTCTTCGGAGCCTGAAATCGAATCCGCTATCATCAATATAGCCGACGTTTCCACGTCGTCGCCTCTGCTCTTGCGAGTGAAAAATCGTCCCATCTTGGAGCGAACCCGGGCGAGGAAAAGTTCGTAAACTCAATACGCGCCTTTCTACCCTCGACGAATCAAAGGAGACGAGGTCGGCAAGGACTGACGATACTCGAGAAATATGCGATCGCGCCGCGCGTCTTTTCCTTTGACACGCGCGTCGATAAGAGCGCGTGATTATTCCGCGGTCGGGAAATCTCGTTTGAAGATTATTTCTCATTTTACGTACTTTTGCCGACGTCAAAACATTCAAAAGACATACCCTTCACTACTTGCTTTCGTACCGTTTTCCCTTTGCACGCGAGTGTGAAATTAAGCCCGTAGCAAGTATGCGAATTCGTATTGCCGAAGCAATACTTTACGAAAACGTTTAATCGCAACATTCGCTCGCATTCGCGTGACTATTCTAATCGGCCGATTTCTGCCCGGGTTCTCTTTAAGTCGCGGTGGGACGAGGCGAGAGTGCTTATATATATGTATATATATATATACATACACTGAATTACACGAGCAGCGAAATAATCGCGCTTGAAGGAAAGCGTTCGTGTTCCATGCCTGTGTCGAGTCCTCAAATTCTTTTGAAGACTCCGTCGGTAGTGCATAATGGCCTAGTAGCCTCTAAGTCCGTGTCTCGCTTTTGCTTTTCATCTCCCTTGAAATCCATCCGCAACAATTACCGACGAGAGCACGGCATCCTACATCTCTAACGGTCGGACCTTTGAAGAGTTCCCAGTACTCTTTACAGCCCGGTAATGCTTGTCCTTAGCGGCGAGGCCGGCCCCGATAATTCTGGGTCGATAACGAAATTCAATATTTCTGCGGTAATAGCCGTGCGAGCGCACAGTGGCGATGTAATGCGGCACAATTCGCCCGCATAAGTCCCGTGTTAATATTTAGGCTTACTACTTGTGAGCACGCCACGTGAGTGCATCATGCACTTTCGTGCAGTCCTATTGGCGCAGTCCTTTTTCGATTGGAATTACCGAGCCTGCAGGAAATACAGTAGACTATAATATGAATTTTGAAGCGTATCGATAGCATTAGTTTCAAAATCTTAAATAGGAATAGACCCTGCACTAATTAATGAAAAGTTGAGTCTCGATGAAGAGAGGTAGTTTTCACATATGTGTAATTTTATAAGTATAAGTTATAATGTAGTGAACAAAAGATGTCATAGATTGGTATTCATTTGTTGATTCTTACTCTGAAACTTTTAGAATAAATCTCATTCTTAAATATTGAAAATTGAGCCACTCTTTACCAAAATTGGTTCAGTTTTACTCTTTAGAATGAGTGAACTCCATTCTTAAATACAGCTTAAGATGTTATAAGCCAATGATCACTGAATTAGCATCTTAAGAAATTATTTAAAACGGTCTTAAAATAAGAACAAACTATGAATACGATTCTCGATAATATCAACGATAATCAAAGCGAACATTTTTAAAGGATTGTACAATCTGTATGATTTGGTACTA